CCATGCCCCGGGGCCCGGGCTCCCAGTCCCACCCGGCAGCCACAGCGAGCCAGCTCCTGCCAGGTGCGAGGGGGAGTCTCCACCTGATCCTGGAGCAGGCAGCCCCCAGGCTGGTGGTCCAGGAGTGGAGAAAGAAGAATCCACCCACATGGTCCCTGGGAACACATCTGCAGGTTCCCGGCTGGGTGGGAACTCACGTCCTGTGATCAGAGCACAAACTGGGCGCCTGGGATTCACGGCCTGCTTTTCCACTAATTCCCTGCATCCTTGAGTAACAACGCACGGCCTGGCTGCTCCCCAGTGTACACAGGGAGATTTCTGGCACTAGAGGCCTCTTTATCTAGCGGAGCAGGGTACCAGGCGATCCAATGGCTGGATGCTGATGCTAAACTAGCGCCGGGCAACCTAGGCCAGCGAGCGGGCCGGCAACCAGCCTCCATCTCAGGAGGCTACAAAAGTGTCTTACCCCAGATGGGCTCCCAGGAGGGGGCAGTTTTCCTAATGGCACCTGCGTCCCTAGAACATGGGGGCGGGGCCAATTGCTCCGCAGCCACGCTGTGATTGGCTGCCGCGGGAGCGCCTGGCTCTCACTGGCCGCGCTGGGTGCAGTCGGCTCCCCCCTCCCTGCACGGGCCTTGGCTTTCCATGCACGTCCCTTTAGTAATGGCAGGAGGGGAAAACGTCTGGGCGGAGGAAGCCAGTGGGCCCCATGCCTTGTGGGCCCCATGCAGACCCGATGGGCAGCTCCCCCATCCCCCGAGCCAGCCACGAGCTAGCCACATTCCAACAGGAAACAAGGTGCACAGGTTTCATGGTGATGCAGCTCCCGGCTTGCCTGGCTCCAGCTCCTGAGGCTCAGAGCCCACCCAGCGTTGGGGGGCTGGAGCACTAGCACAGGCTCCCCTGCCCTCTTCCGGCCCCACCATGGGGCTGGAGCACACACGATCTACTAGCCTGGGCCCCCCCAGGCGCTGGTGTGCGAGGGGAACGTCTCCTTTGGGGGCCACGTCAGTGAGGGGTTTTTCCCCCACTTCTACTTGTGTGTGGCCCTGATGGATTTTTCGGTGGGTCAGCAGCCCCCGACCCAAAAGGCTCCCCAGCCCTGTTCTAACATGCTGCAGCTCAGCCTCATGCTGCAGACAGGGCGAGGAACCGCTGGCTGGCCTGTGCTATGCAGGCCGTTCCACTGAATGATCAGAATGGCCCTGAACCTCAATGTTACTTTGTTTCAATGGGACTTAGGGGCCTAAAGATCTGGGCCATTGGCCCCTTCTGGCCTTGGAGTTTAAGGCCCCCTAAAGTCGAGGAGAGCTCTTCCAGTGACTTCGGGGGGGCTAGGGTTCACCCTAGAGATTTGCAAATTGATCTAATAGGACCAGCCCCACCGAAGGCTCAGCAGCGCTCTGCAATGTAATTAATTAAACCTTTGCAAGGTGCTCCGACATCGCCAGCCGTGCAGGGTTTAAATGAAAGGGAAAGGGATCCACGGGGAGGTCCATAATTAAAAGTTATTTGCCAGCTGCCAAGGCAGAACCAAGCACACGCCCCTCCAGCTTGGACTTGTGAAATCTGCACATTTGCTCGGCCAACCAAGGCGACATTGGGCCCGGTCAACCCATGGCGAGAGCCAGGTCGGTCACGACCACCCTATCCGAAATGATGGGTTCAGCTAAGGTTTCTCTGTCTCCCTCTAGCGGAAAAATGGTTCCTTGCTGGCTCCTAAACCTCCTTGCCCAGTGACCTGTGTGTGGAGATCTAGCCGCTAGCTGGGCTGGAAAGAATAGCCTGTGTTAGTGTTGAAGGTGCCATTAACAGTGCTGGCAGGAAATGGGGTTTCGTGGAAACTGAAATGTTTCCAGGAATGCATCGGTTTTGACAACACTTGCAGTGGAAACATTTTAAATGATTCCCTTTGCACGGGAGGAATCTCCTTTTGTTTCAGCGTTGAATCTGTAAACGTCTCAATCCAGGTTACGATCGCATTTCTAGGCGTCTATAAACATGACGGTTTAGAGAGAGAGAAGTAGTTGATCATTTTCAATTGGTTTCAAGCGTTTGGAGACAAGGGACAATTTTGAAAAGTTGGAATTGCTCATGGGATAGAAATGCCCATTTCTGGCCAGCTTTACTGAATTTGTGCTGCGCACAGGGAGCTTGCTCAGTGACTAACTCTGAGTCCAATTCACTCCATCACCATAAACAGCCTTTTCGTTGCCATTGGCTTTCGCGGGAGCAGAATCAGGCCCCATCTATGCTTGCATGTTGCCCTCCAGTGGCCGGCTGCAGTTTAAAAGAGCAGAAGAATGTGGCTGGTAGAGGCGTTTGGGTTGCAATCTGTTAGCTCAGCTGGTAAGGAAGCTGGTGGTTTTCAACCGGGGGTACATATAGCCCTCGGGGTACATCTGTCATCTAGGTATTTGCCTTGACGTTACAACAGGCTACATAAAAAGCACTAGCGAAGTCAGTACAAACTAACATTTCATACAGACAACGAATTGTTTATACTGCCCTGCTATACACTGACATGCAAGTACACTCATTTATATCCCAATTCGTTTATTTTATGGGTTCAAGGTAAAATAAGGAAGCAATTTTTCAGTGATAGTGTGCAGGGACATGTGTCTTTTCAGGTCTGATTTTGTAAGCAAGTCTTGTCAGTGAGGTGAAACTTGGGGGATACACACACACACAAAACGGTGACACTGTCTGGACAGGTTGAGAACTGCTTTTGTACACTCGGACAGGCCTCCGGCCTCACTTTCAGTGTGTACAGCTTATCAGAGAGAAAGGAATAACCCCTTCCCACTGAAGTAACAGTCTTCTGCCTAGCTGTCAATCGGACAGCTCCCTATGCGGTGTTGTAGCCCTGTCAAGACCAGGA